GGTAGAGAAACACAAACAAAAACTAACAAAACGCCTAAAATATAAACATTCAGGGCATGCACAATCAACTTAAAACATGCTATTTATATGAGAACAGTCGTATACACAAATTGGACTCTATTAGAACTCTGGAAAACTTTTCTCGTTTAAAAGACAGGATGATGAGAAGTAAAGTTGAGAGCCCAAGGGCATGATCAAAGCCTGCTTGTTGGAGGTGCACACGGCAGTTCAAAGGCCTTATTAACTTGAGTCTAACACACCTTCAGTTCGCTGACGAGCTCATGTAAACATAATATCTGGCTTGTGCAAACACAGAGTTATAAATTGTTACAGAAACATAACAAATCCTTGATGGCACAGAGTATAAATGTGTACTGTAAGTTAACAGTATACGGATCCTCAGTCTACTAATGCTGTGAAATGTTTACTAATTTCATTTATTTGCCGCATTATCTGTACAATAAAGGTCTCTGTAACATCTCTTTTTGATCCGTCCTACTCAACCGATTATTAAGATCGAGGTGTTATTTTTAAAGTTTACGATTTTGCAATAGCTATTATAAACAGAAAAGTAAACGCGAATACTAAACATCCTCCTTGGTTAATCTATGGTAAAATGGCATTATTCGTTTTGCCTGTGAAATACGTTTTGAGCCCTATTGAAATGTACACCATTGTATTTCTTTATTTTTACACACATAAATATCATTCACCTGAACGTTATTGCTGGGTTGTAAAATTTTCTTTCGTGTTATTTCGTGTTGTTTCGTGTTACGAAAATTATTGTTGCTTATGAACCCCATTGTCGTGTACATGTTATGAACATGTTATGTAATAATTATTGGCGTGTTGTGAACATTTATAGAGGGTTTGAACTTTGGTCCTAAAAATTTAATTTGCTAGGGAATTCTTTTCGACGGTACATTTCTTTGCGATTCGTGTTTGTAGCTCTTTGTGAATGTTTTCTGTAATTGAATAATTAATATAATGCTTTTACTTTTGTAAATTTCACGCAGGTATGAAAATTAAACACTTTTCTTCTAATTGTGGGCATACATCGTCACAAACATCGGAAATAACGAGGCATTGTAATCTTTGTCTATTACATACTCTCTTACTTACCATCTTTTCGGATTTTACGAAAATAATTTTAAGGTGTCATTGTGCATTGTAATGCTCGAGAGCTTTAACATCTTCGTGCGTTTCTTTAATACAATTGGATAAATATATTTAGGGCGTATTTTCAACTAAATATATTATATAGTAATGATTCTGCACTATCATGAATGAAGTCCAAGGTGGTGTTTTGTTTCCGAGAGCTGTTCTGAACAGAGGCAAAGCAGGTGCTGATGAAAATAAATCGTCAGCGAGTTCAGGCGTGTTATGGAACTTTCCTTTGATCATCTGAGCCCAAGCGTTTCCTAAAATCTTGTATAGGCTCCAGGCTTGGCAGTGAATTGATTCTCCTTCAAAGATGGATAGTTGATCTTAGGTGATGCGCTTATATTGAACGTTTGATGTAAATTGTGCATTAATTGTTCTATTAATAATACTTGTAGTATTATTGGAAGATCTGTATCAGCTATTGGTTACGAAGATTGCTAGCTAAATACAGCAATTTACTTTTAACTACTATTTCTCCTCTGGTCTGGTGTTTTACTGTGCAACCAAAGAGTACACATCGCAAAATTTACCTGAAAAAAAACAGAAAATTTGAGTCGAATCAGTACACCCAAGCGTAATCAAATACAACACAAATCTAAACCGGATTCATATAATTCACGTTTAAGAGTTTATGCAGACTTCCCTCCTACTGTGAAATCTTAACCCTGTTTTATATGTTTCGTGTTGGTGTTTCATTCTCACTAAAGTCAATTAAACGTTTCTCCCTTAATTTAGGGTAGGTTATTTCGGCTTCTCATTTACATTATGACTATTGTTCCATACGGAAAACAGTTATTACAATTATGCGTGAATAATATTTAGTAAATCAGGTTAAACATGAAATTTTTATACTGTATAACAAGAAACAAATAGTCAATAAAACGTCCCCTACATAGTTCAGTACCTGGCCTTAATGATCGTTAGTTGATCAATAAAGATAATAATTAATAAATGTTTAAATTACCTTGTTGCTGATTTTTTGAAGTTATGACAGCAACTAGGTAATTTAACCCTCTGGTTGATTCAGACTACCCTTAGGACAATACGTAATGAAAAAGACGATAACTCTATAAATAGTGTGTTTAATCTATTATTCTACTGCACAAACTGAAGTCACCTGAACTGTTTAGTTAAAGCCACATATCAGTAGGAGCGTTAACCACACACAAAATACATTTTTAATCTGACAGATGAATGTTTGCCTAAAGCCTTAAGCCCCAAACAAGCGCCAATGCCAGTTGTTTGCTCAGTCAACATAACCGATGTTATCCACCCCAACATAGGCCTAGGATGGCCAGTGGCTGTTTTCATCGTGTGTAACGCAAATGGACATTTGTGTTTGTTCCATCACCAAACACAAACACAAACTTTGGGAAAAGGCTACATAACATACATAAACATGCAAAAAGGTGGAGTTAGGATTAAAAGTAAAATATTCAGTCACTTTATTGACGAAATATACTTAGAACCTCTAGTTCGACACTTTGTGGACTTAGGGGGTGTCAAGCTATCAAACGTCTATCTATAGGGAGTATATTGGATTGGACATTTCCACACAGGGAGTTTTACACTAGCAGATAGAGCAAACAAATTAAATAAATATTATAAAACTATATTGGCATTGTACATCCGCAGTGAGAAGGAAAAGGAAAAAAATAACACTTAACAAGAATAAAACCCAAACTGGAAATTACTCCGAAACAATATCTAAAAATAAAACATTTTTTTAGTAGACTATTGCAAACAACGAAGGTAATATTCATGAATATTTTCTACTATTGATCATTAAACCCAAGGACCTAAGCGGATTAATAAAGCAAATCTGAATGTTTGTTAAACTAATGAGTAAATATCTAACCATCTTTGGAAATCACCCCCATTTTTACTTCAGGTGCAGTTTTACCCTCCTACATTGTTTACCGATAAGGTAAACTTCTCTTTTATTAATCACCTGTAAAGAATGAGGCTCAAACAAAGCTCCTGTCTACCCTCCCCCCCCCCTTACCTCCTTCCTCCCCCTTATCTGTTGTAATGAGATATTTCTTAATTGCCTACCCTGCCTCCTGCATCTTGTAACTTTTCTTTTGTTCAGACACAATTAAATGTTAAGTTTTATCTTAGATTAAAGACCACAAATCGCACTTTCATTCGGGAAAATTTGGAACTCCCTTTTGTATTGTGGTTACTGGTGAATATACAAATTGAATTGGGTAAATGTTAGAACAATTGTTGTTTATGGAATACATTTATGAAAAAGAAAATAGGTTCAATAAGGGTGTTATAAAAGCTTGGTGGCTAGTGTCCCCGAATCCTATATTACGGGAACTGCATTTATTCCCAGCATATCAAAAAATATTTGTCTCAATCAAACATTTAACTAGTTATGACAAACATACCCAATGAACTTAAAAAGTTACAATTGAATAAAAATAAATTGTAATGGTATTCAAAGTTGATAATTTAAATACATACCCAACATGATGCTTTCTATCATTATAAAAATTTAATTTAGGCCTACACGGTTAAGGATTAAGTTTTTTCCTTCAATCATTGTGTGTGTACTGTAAGCAATTTGCTGATATTTGCTCAAACATTTACCTTTTAAAAGTTCTTTGAATCTGTTCAGATTCTAAAACTCATGCTGTATTTTGTCACACTTTAAATTGGATTTAAATTAAACGGAGGCACATTAGAATGCAAAATTATTTATATATATTTATATATATATAAATAAAAGCCACACATAATATATATATATATATATATATTATTTATATATATATATATATTATTTATATATATATATATATATATATAAATAAGGATATATTTATTAGAAGCAAAATAAAAGCACAATTGTTGAGCTATAAGTTAGTTAATAACATTTTAATTTGTTTACATTCTTTTTGGACAAAATAAAAAAGTAAAATATGATAAAATTAAAATTGATCTGGACAGTTTTAGTTCAGAAACCTCAGTTTAATCCATGAAATGTGAGAAATGTACTCTAATTAATTATAAACCACTATGGTCACAGAAATCATGTTTATTCTGTACCTCTGAATGTTAAAGGACATTGCTAAATCACTTCCACTTCAGTCCCTCTCGTGAACAGTCCTGATAGGTTCCAGCCCCTCTAATCGTCTGTAAGTAATGTGTCTTAAACAAAGTCCCCCACCCGCCCCTTCATCAGCCCCGTCTCGTAATAACGAGATTCCGCTTAATTGTTACACCTTCCATCCCCGTGTCCCTGGCAGAGCGGAATTTAAACCCTCCTGAACGTAAATTATTTTCTAATAAGTAGAGAATGTACAATCTTAAAGCGAAATTTATATTTTCCATGTCAAAGTAAATGGAATAGTTTTTGACATTATTAGATATTTTAGATTAGGACCTATGCATATTTCACTAATACTATAAATAAAAATGAGGATTTAGGTAGACATACTTTATCTTGATAGTATTACAAAAAGAGTGTGGAATGGAATTATATGTCCTGAGGTGCTTTAGGACTGACCGAGACTAGCTGTTTCTCTTCTTTGAACTGTTTATTACATTCATAAGTTGAGTCAGTAATTATTCAATCATAATTACAAACTCTTGATAATATCACACACTTCCCCAAAAATTATAGTTTGGGTGAGTTTTGCAGCATTTTCCTCTCACGTAAATGTAGGATTGTTTTTAATGATTACTGTAAATAGATGTTGGGTTTCTTTAATAAAATTTACCACTTCAACTCAGACAATTTTAGATACGGTTGGTAAGAAAGGTTATTTAATATTTAAAGAGTGTGGTCCACCTCATAGTACTATAAGGATCATGTCATGTTGCAGTACTGAAGGATGAGTTCCGACAAGAGCCCCAGGACACTAGGGTGGCTGCAGGAGAGACGGCACTGCTAGAGTGTGGTCCACCTAGAGGTCATCCGGAGCCATCCCTACACTGGCGCAAAGACGGACAAGTTGTTGACCTGCAAGCTTCTACCAGGTACATGGTTCTTTTCCTGTTACGCTAGGCATGAGCTTGGTATTGTTTTTCATATTACTTAAGGCTAGACTTAGGGGTTACGGCATTATCACATAGATAAAATCCATTCGTGATTTGGCGGGATTTGAACCCAGGACCTCTGTAACCAAAGTCCCGCGCTCTACCCACTAGACCAACTCGCTCACCAGGTACTTGGGTGGACAAAATAATCTTAAAAACGTATACACTTTGATTTATACATTAATACTTTTAACTGAAATGGCGACCCTTGTAGTCTTGTTAATGACTAAGGCCTACATGTTTCTTAGACAGGACTGTTAACTATTAGTCCATACAGCCAATGGCAACTAAGAAACCTACACTTCATAGTGGAAAACCCAGTAACCTCAGAAACATTCCTGAAGTGCTAAGAAAGTGTCCTTTTGGATACACAGCAAAGGTCCTTGCCTAAGGTTTCCCCAGGCTAAGCAAAGAAATAATGTTAAATATTGTGAGGGATTGGGATCGTTAAACTGTTTTATACTTAAAACAGGTATTAATACAAAACATTATTTTATGTGTTTGTTGTTAGTGCTCATTGACTAGCTGTTGCTGGTGAGTGAAAAGCAGAAAAAGTCATGCCAAGTCCAATATTTTGGTTATGTATTCTATCAATGAACAATGTCAATAAAACATTTTGTGTTCACTCTTTGAACATAATGAGCCACTGACTCACCATTTACTTGAAGATCGCTTAGTGGCTCAGTTTGTTGAATAACAAACTGCAACAAAGTCAGCGGACTTTTGGTTCTCCCCATGGTGCTGCCAATTTTTATCAATATTTCCCATTCTTTTACTGTGTCAACTCACCCCTCCATCCTTTTCTTGGTACGTACTACACACAGGCATCTGAATCACATTTGGCCTTGCAAAAGCAGGGTTGGAAGAAGCTGTCAACCTCCTTTTACAAATGTATTTGTTCTAAATTTATTTTCTTCGTAGGTTTCGCATAGTGGAGGGAGGCAACTTGATGATATCCGATGTGAGACAGGTGGACGCAGGAGACTATCAGTGTGTTGTTCAGAACCTCGTGGGGCTGCGGGAAAGCGGACCTGCTTCACTGACAGTTCATGGTAAGTTACTGAGTCTAGGTGACAAAAAGTAAAATCTTAGCTTGCATGGCTAAGGGGACTTAATGGCTCTCTAGTTACTTTTAATTTGAAAATAAAAGACATAGAGCTTAGGTCTGTTTTAATATTAAGTCGAACTAGATTTTTAATATAGAAAAGGCTCTATTGAAATTATTGGAGACCACCGTCTTCTTTTCCTGTTAAAAATTTCCAAAATATTGTTTCAGTCAAACCATTCATCACAACCGCTCCAAGAGATGTAACAGTTTCACCAAACGGAACTGCCAAATTAACCTGTGAAGCTGGAGGGGAACCTGCTCCAACTATAAGATGGCACCGTTCCTTTGGAGCTGTAACTTCTGGAAGGGTTTCTGGAACTGTTACTTTGCCCCCTCGTGCTGTTCTCACAGAAAACTCTCTTACCATTCATCCTGTACATCCATCCGATCAAGGACGTTATATTTGTGAAGCTTTCAACGTTGCAGGAACTGTTACTACTTCTGCAACTGTTACTGTTCACGGTTAGTGAGATACATTTTCTAGATAGATTTTGAAATGTTTATTGTATTTCAAAAGGAAGAGTTAGAAATCAGACAATTTTGTAGAACGAGATATTGTAGAGTGTAGTACACATTTATTTATTTATTTATTTAAGAAACACCTACTACATTTGACATTTATCCTTAATTATAATTTAAAAGCACATTATTTAACCATTTGAAATCAATTATGGAAAATTTAGGTATTTTTTAAAATTATGAACATTTGTATCATGTTTTTGTTCCATCATGAGAAAACAACTCAAATATAAATTATTTCGAAACAGGTTCTCATTCCATTGGGCACATATGAAAAACAAGCGGATAAGTATAATATTTGACTGATGGATTCTATCCAAAAGTCAAAGGAAACACTGTCAAAATGCTTGATCGGAGGTGTAATTAACACACAACTATCTTGTCAAGTTCCTATTGAGCTAAGCCATGTGATATGGGACTCTCCCTCAAATCTCTACCACAGAGGTGAACTTCTCATGAGTTGCTCATCAAATCTATAACAACATAGTCTCCTCTAATAAAAGGCCGTGGCGAGACAAAATTGACAACTCTGCTGTCCCGTCAAACCGAAACAGCTGTTGCTGGACAGTATGGACAGTATAGGAAATGTTTATGTTTACACTTTTGTTATTTTTGTTATTGCCATGGCAGTATGCATGACGTCTTGAAGTTACCACACACCAACGCCTCAGTCTACTGTTCGAGGAGGCTATGAAAAAGTGTCTCCTGATCAGAGTGACAGCCTGAAACTACTCGGCCATTGTTCAAACCTACCATCTGTTTACTGCGCTAACAATACTGTACCGTAGTTGTTATAAACTTTACTCCCAAGCTGCAGTATATATGTCAAGTAAAGCTTTCAGCCATTTTGGTTGAGTTCACTTGCTTTTACTTCTAAGTAAAAGTATGCTTTGGTTGCTCTTGTGTTCAATATACTACTTTTGAGTTCAAAATTTTAAGTGGTGAGGAAGTCAGGTAATATGACTGATGATTGTTAAATGGATGATTTGATATCCTTTTTAACAAAACTTTTTATCAAGTAGGCTTTCTAAAAGAACTAACCTCAGCTAAAACTGACTATTTAGATGTTTCACAGAAATAAATAAATAAAACACTTTTGGGAAAAGTTAAACTACCCAATAGTATACTAAACAGAAACAAATTATTCCATTTATATTTTCAGCTCCTCCCTACTTCACAGTGCGTCCGTCAGATGTATCAATGAGTTCCGATGGTCCTATGTCTCTTCATTGTCGAGCCGAGGGCTACCCCCCTCCCCTGGTGTTCTGGGCAATGGAAGGCTCCCAGCAGCTGATGTTACCCGGGTATAAGGCTGACAGACTGTCAGTAACAGTTGACAACACACTGACCTTGACAGGGACTGAAGGTCATTTGATGTGCTGCGCTGTCAGTGATGCTGGATCAAACATCGCAACGGTGCAAATCAAGGTATTGGTTTAATTTTTGAGTATCCTTAAACATTTATTTTGACCAATTTTACAGGTCTTCATGGATAGGTTTCCATTACTATAAAGTGGCGACTTGACTAATGACGTCTTTTAATTCGACGCACCAGATCAACTTCATATGTCAAGTGTGAAGAAGTCCAAGATACCCTATCACACTCTACATCAAGACTGATACATTATTTTGGGGAATATAAGTGCTTCATCTGTAAGGACACAGTCGTGAAGTAAATGCCACTTACCCTTTTTACCGGTGTTTCACTGGTGTTATGAATACAAGAGTATAAAAAGTGTCAAAAAAAGAGAAAGTTGGTAGAAAAAAAGTTCTTTGCTTGTTTTTCTATTGGAGAGGAGCGTTTGTAACACCAGCAACATGCTTTATACAAAGATGAATCAAATAGTGACATCATTGATTGTGATGAATACTGAAATATACATATTATTTTATGACGTTCCAGCTGTATAGCTAGTAAGTTTATTCAAAGTGCTACAACGGTTAAAACTGTAAAAACTCTATTATTAGGTGTTGATACTTGGATAATAGATGTGGCAAAATAAATGCTACAGTTTACAGTAAGTTTGGCTTAGTTAAAAGTTGGTCTAAATGACAGAAATCAGTAATAGACTTCGCCCCACTATTAAAGTGGCTTTATTTCAACTTGTTCATGTCATTCTAAAACTAGCAAAAACATCGGGTTGGAAAGTCTACTATACTCTCTATGGTGAAAATTAGCTTTGCCAACATTCTATTTCCACTTTAAGTTTTCAATTATATAAAACATGCTTTGGTTCACAACTCTGTCAATTCAGTTTGGCATGGTTAAAATTAAATACTGTGTACAGTTCAGAAAATTGTGATTGATAGAACATACAAAACATAATGTCAATGGTTAAATTCAAATACCAACGGTATGTTCTTTTACATGCTGAAACTGTACATCAACTACTCCACAAAAAAAGCTAAAATTATTGTGTATGCACTTTGAGGGTAATTTCTTTGATTGGTACATATCTCTTACAATTACAGTATTCAAAAAACTACAGCAACCAGACTTTGTCACAGAATGTCGAACATGTTCTTTAGGACATCATCTGAGATTTTGTCTTAAATCAAGGGCAGAGGTGTAGTGGGGTTGAAATGCATGGGAACCGCATTCTCACTCTGCTTTTTAACAAAATCCTATATATTAACCCCTGGTTTTTCCAAGATGATGGTGAGCATTCCCTAAGAAATCTATACATTGTGCACAATATTATTCTCCCCCCTACTGCAACAAATAGGGTACATTAAAATTTTTGAATCTATACTCAAAGAATTTTTGTCAGCCAAACATTCATTCAATATTGTGCACTAATTATTATTAATAAAAACATCAAAATACCCTTGGTTTCCAGACAGAAACAACAGAAAAGATTCCTTCTCCACCAGTCATGAAGGGAACAACCAACTTGAAGCCTCGAGTTGTTAATGTAACCCAAGACAGTGTGACGTTAACATGGCCGGCAACAACATCGCCATGTAGCTACAATGTTCTGTACTTTTGTGTACAGTGTAAGGGAGAGTGGATGACAGCGGCTAGAGAAGTCTCAGCATCCACTGTGATGGTAAATATTCTAAACTCTCTGACAAGTTTTTGCCATTGCATTTTGGATACTGCAGTAGACATCGGTATGGACCAATGTTTCAATCCAATGAACATATAGCTGAACGAGCCACACAAGTGTGGTACAATTAAAAATTCTATTATTTCTCCCTTAGTTTTAGTTACCGGTATTGTAAATGCTGATTTCAGGTAAAATATATTATCGTAATAAGCTGCTATTTTAATTTGGCTTGGTTAAAAGTTTGGGTATATGACATAAATGAATAAATAACATCGACCAACTCTGATAATGGGACAATTCAACAATTTTTAGTTTGATTCCATAATGTAACTACACATTTCCCATGGGGATGGAATGTTTACTTATATCGATAGTCAAACGTTTTCATACAATCACCCTTTGGAGATGTGGCGGGATGATAACTGGGGCCTCAGGAACCAAAGTCTAACACTCTACCACTAGACCACCTCGCTCCCCTGGAAAAAAAAAACAATTATGTATAATATCCGATTGTTTCATAGATTTATTTAAACCAAACTAAGCTACACTTAACACTTATTACTTAACATCGATAGTTTTCAACATTCTCGTTCTATTTCAGATAACAGATTTAAAGCCCTCCACAGACTATGAGTTTGTGGTCCAAGTGGAAGCTGGTTTAGACAATGTCCAGACAGGAGTGTCTGAAATGGTGAGAACATTGAATGTCAATGCTCGTAAAGTGTCTAGACAACAGTTGGACACTGCTCGCAATAGTTTGACAACAAACGTTCTGCAGCTGAAGCAACTGACAGCAGTGTCTTCGACAGCAGCCAGAGTTACGTGGCAGGTGAGAAGAGTTCATTACTAGATTAGGATGGATTATATTAGATTTTTGGTTGCTGACACACATGGGTGTTCTCAAAAATAAATTCTGATGCGTAAAGAAAAGTCAATGCATGAGTGTTACTATTAGTATCCAAAGAAATATATGTATTATTTTATCGCCTGCTTGCAGCGCAGTACACATTTGTCGCAACTCTTTTGAAGTCATGAATGTTGAACCTCATGAACTAAGTAGCTCTAAACTTGGTGTTTGCACATGGTACTGTATAAACTGATCAGATTGTGCGAGTTTTCTACTTACTATTCTTTAACTACTCCATTCCTTTTCACAGATACTGAATGCAGAGGAGTACGTTGAAGGGATATATCTACGTTTTCAAGCTCTTGATACATCCAATGCAGCCAATTTTGGAGACTACGAGTTGATCACGGTCTTAAACGCAGGCGCCACCAGTTACACTGTCACTGGCTTGCGGAAGTTCATGAAATACAATTTCTTCTTGGTGCCTTTCTACAAGACAGTTGAAGGAAGACCTTCCAACTCTAAAGTGGTGCAAACTCTGGAAGATGGTAAATATTTGCTTTCCTAATAATATTTTTCATCCTTTTTTTACTATTTGTGTCCTTTTACATACATTCATAGGTAGAAATCATAACAGTTCTTTGATTAAAAAACTACAGTGGGCAATGTGCATGCAGCATCTCTGAAAGGAATGTTCTTTGTTCAACCAGTGTGGCATTGAGACAACTGTTTAAAATTCAGGGCAAGTCCTAAATCAGTTTTGCGACTTTTGGATGAAATTCAGAAAAATTATGGATAAAAAAGGGGTTGGGTCATTTCCTTAAAATAAAATTTAAAAAATACAGTAATATAAGATAAATACAACTAAGAAACAACAAAGTACAGCTAAGTAAGTGATGAATGATTGTCCTTTATGTGCATTACTGTAATAGGTGGGCTTACAGCTTCATTCCAATATCCAGATAATGCAGCAATGCCTTGGATTTTAAAGCTAGATGGATAGATAGTTGTGCTAGAATGGTCTTGGATAAAGTATTACTTCGTGGTTTGACATTTTAACAACACAAATGGTTCTGAAAATCGTTTATTCATTTATTATACTTTATTATATCAACACCGGCACTTGGTCATAGGTAAGTTTCTGTAGTTTCAAGATTTAGAAGACAGTTATTGCATGAGTTGTGTTATTTGTTTAGATAAAAGTTGTTAATTTTATTTTTCACTCCACAGTGCCCTCAACACCTCCACACGGACTACATGTTGGATGGTTCAATGAAACAACAGCCTTTGCTCAGTGGCAACCTCCTCTGAGAGGTGAAATCAATGGTCATCTTCTTGGCTACAAGGTAAGAAAAGTTGTTAAGCCAAATGGAAATTATAATTACAGACAAGTCATGTTGACAGATTATATGGAGAGTCATAAGCAAACTTTTGTTTTATGTCCCTGTTTTTCATGTATGCGTATATTTGTTGTATACCTATTTATTTGTTGTCCTTTATTTGTTGTACAAACATTTGTATTTGTATGAAGATCCGGAGGTTAAAATGTTAGAAATAAATAGGCCTAATGTAAATATTGGTAAAAATAAAAACATTCAACAATTAATTGTCTTTATCATGATTAACTGTCAACATTGCAGATACAAGTCAAAACGGGGTTGAAAATAGCAGCGACAATCACTGTAAACGCCTCCACCTCACAAGTGACACTACACAACGCCTCGCCTGACGTAGCGGTGCGTGTGTGTGCCGTATCAGGTGCGGGAGCTGGACCATACACTGCCCCCATCACTTTGCGGACCCCACCTAGCCCCCCCGCCACCCAACCCACGACACCTGACTCCACAAATGCTCTGCTCACTCTCCTATTGGCCGCCTCGCTTGTCGTGTCTGCTGTCGCTTTCTTCACGACGTTCTACCTCAAGAGACGTCAGGCGTTCACTAAAGAGCTGGGCAATTGTGGTGAGTTTGATTCAACATATTTTGGTTCTATTTAATGTTTCCAATTAATATGTCAAAGTACGGTTTCATGCTAACAGAGGGCAAAGTAAAATGATCAAGTATTTTAAAACTGTGATAGTTGTAAATTCACATTTTGAAACATCTCTTTAAAAATAGGGTTTGAGGAAATTACTTACTGCTAAAGAAAGCAAAGCAGCTATTTAACCAGCTGCCAGAAACTCATTATTTCATTTATCCATTATCTCGTTTATCAATTGGCTATTTTTTTTCTATTATCTATGTTGAAATTTTTCTATTAAAATAGAATATACAAGGAGCAATCGTGCCCCACAGATTTTCAATCAAAATTTAAAGATTAGGAATTGTAGAGGAACCGATAGAACCAACATCCTGTAGTACATGCACATGGACAATAATGCATAAAGAAATTTTATCGTTATTTCAAAATCTGCATACTGTTTGAATAGGTGTTTAATTATTATTGCCTCCTGAACTGTTGTTTCATGAATAATCTATGTTACCAACCTTTTTGCCTTCACAATTCAATCAGTAGTCGTACTGACAAGGATGTGGATTAGCAAAGGCATTGGTTTACTAGTCTACATCCTCTTCGGTCGGAGATTATCAGCTACCGCCACACAACCTCAATGTTCATTGGTCTTTGGTCTTGAAGTGCGCTGATGTAACCCTTATTCCAGTGAACAACATGGGAGATCTTTCTCACCTGAGTTTGATGGGAGCTTGTAAAGACTCTCTGTGGATAGAGGGTGGCTGGGTCAGTCTGCAGGCATACCAACCTCAGGAGACAAATAACTCTACCAGTACAGCCAACCTAACAACATTTTACTCTGCAAAAAGGGAGGAGCCCACACCGTATGCAACTACATCTATAATTAACAACAAAGTGAGATACTTTTCCTCTTGAGTGTTCTGATTTGCACTTTCTGTGTTAATCTATATTAATACTTTTAAAATGTTGAAGGATACAACTTATTACCACAAATCCATCTTGAATAAATTGATTCCTTAATTATTAACAATAATAGAAAATATTTCTAAATAGATAAAGTTCCTGAACCAATTTCATTCTTTTGTCAGTTTAACTGTACAGTGGTTTTTTTGGATTGTTTATTGTGTATGAAATGGGAAAGACTAAGACGTATCCAACATAATTACTCGTTCAATCTTTTCAGAAAGACAGTGGCATGAGAAATCTACTTGCAATATCCATAGTCAAATAATCATTGTAATAATAGAATCAAGGTATCTTAACCGAACAAAGGCAGTAATTTTCATTAACTGATTTTCACAGTTTCACTGCCAGCCGTTGTTTTCCAACAAAATCCAACTCTTCTTACCAAACACAAGTGCCTTTTTAGTCCTGGCTAACTATACAAATTATATACCTCAAACTAAAAGTATATTCTTTTTGTAGGAGTCCAGAGGAGAAATCGTGCCTGTCAATACAAGATCATCAATGATAGAAACAAAAAATCTCCCAACAAGTGAGTCTTGGTCGAGTCCTCTTCAAAAATCTACACATTGCACAACCTTGCCCAACAATGGTAAGTTTATACAACACAAAAAAACCCTAATGTTTCATACAGATTGTGTCAACTGATTTCACAAATCCTGTGAAGGCGCTCAAGTTTGTCGAGTCATTGGCTCAGTTGGGAGCACGGCGGGTCAAATCCATAGCAGCAACTTTGTTGGTTCAGTTCCCTGTGTCTGCCACTACATTTTATCAGTCCGGTTCAACTCACTCTTATCAGTGACGGATCCAACCAGGGGGGCTCACCTCTTGTTTTGCTGGATACCCATTTCGCGGACAGGTGAGACTCCTATGTCAACCGGCAAATTAAAGGTTATGAGGGATGGCCAACCTCTAAAAAAAGTAGATTTTATGCTATTTGAATTATGATTTTTACTTTATACATTTTTAAATTATTTTTTATTTTGACGGGGGTATAGTAGAAAGTACAATAATGGTAAAAAAACTGGAAATAGTAAAAGGTTTTTTATTGGGGTTCTGATGTTTTAGGATGGCTATACTGTCACTGAAACAATCGGAAGACATGTCTAAGACACTCCATACTACAACGTGAACATGGAATGGAGATTATTATGGGGTGTGGCTGATATAGTTAGAAAGTGGGATTGTGTTTTAATGGCTTGTGTATTAAAGCACAGAAAACATACTACTATAACCCAGAATGCCAACCGCATGGTAAAAAGCGTTAGGTACTTTGAGAGAGCTTTGCCTGTCAATTCGTAGGCAGCGTCACCAGTGTTGCTATGCATTCAGCTTAAATATGCCGCTGAGTGCATAGCAACGCTGGTGGCGCTGCCTATGAATTGACAAGCAAAGCTCTCTCAAAGTACTTAACGCTTTTTACCATGCAGTTGGCATTCTGGGTTATAGTAGTATGTTTTCTGTGATTAAAGCCTGCCAATCATCAATAACTTCAGCCATTAGATAATGCTTTGATGTGACCTAACAGTTTGAAGATTACCTACATATATGACTACCTTTCTAGAAAAAACAAATAAAAAACTAGAGGTCTTCACCTGAAGTTGACTACATTGGACACATTTTCTTGTGCAGCCTGAGAGCACTAATTGGATGCCAAAACTAGTTGTTTGGTGTCTTTTCAATTATTACTGATGAAATTACAATATGTATTTAATTTTTTCAGGGGGAAAACTGAGTCTGTTCACTACCCAAGTTCCCCCCTTGTGTGCCAGAAGTGCTTCACAGGTAATATAACATTTTTTTATCTTATGAATTTCCTTAGCTTAAAATACACTTCATACTATTTAATTTGAGTAGGTGTGTGGATATAAAAAGTATAGTACTATAATACACTTTTTGTGGTGAAGTATTCTTGTCATTGGAATTAAATATATTCACTTGTCACAGGTCTGCTTTATTCATTTTTAGAGTTTACTATTTAAATAGCATGTTTTTTTTATGATTGCCAAAAATTGTAGGAATAATTCTTTATTTCAAAAAAGTTTACTCATCTAGCCAAAGCATTTTACATTTTTTTTATTTAGAAACAGCATAAATGATAGGACAGTCAAATTAAATAGTTTAACACAAGCGAAACTCAACACAAAAAGCAACTCCCAACTAACTGCACCAAACACCAAAACAGGACTGTTTTCAACACCCTTCCCAGACATGGAACACCAAAACTCATTTTACACTAGGATAAGTAGTCCATATGGGATTTCCAAGGTTAATATCTTTTACTCTTTGCTGATTAGGAAAACCCCACCAAAGTATTTTGAAATCAAAATACTGTACACATTGTCAAACTATCTAAAAAGCCACTCCCGCCACAGACAATTTATCATTCTCTAAAATTATATTGCAGATCAACAGAAGATCTTCCAGTCCTCCATCGTTTAGACAGCTTCCCAGTGTTCACTACGAGCCTCTCAGTCACAGTGTTACCAACTGTATTCCGCTCGCCGCAAGTGTTCAAAACAACGTGTCTGATGTTCCTAAGGTTGGCAGCCATGCTGGGTTTTCCATAAGGGCTGCTCCACCATACCAGCCACCTCCAGTAAGTGATATTTTGAACAGTATAGAGTCAGAGTCGATTACCCAGCCTAAACTGGTAGTGGATATATTAATTAGATAAGCATAAAAGTCAGAAAACATACGAGTGCAGGTTCGGATTCGCGAATGAATCCGTAGTTTGCTTGTACCCCGCATCGAGGCTCATCACCATTAACTGGCATCATTTGTGAACATAATTACACAAATTTTTTTAGCTCTGTAGCTGTCATGTACACTTCATATGTGTAAAAAAAATGTACAATCAAATCTCCTGCCACGCCCGAGGTAAGGTAAGGGATACGTTTTTTGTTGACACAAAACATATCCGATGCCGACATTCATCGCCAGATGACTAGCACACATCTAGTACAGGGCGGTGAGAGAAAATTTCCACCACTTTAACATTTTTACTTACTCTGAATACATACAGTTAGTTTTAAAAGTAGCTCCTTATTTATAGAACATTACAAAATAACAAAAGTAAAGTTGGTGGGGAAAGGGTCCGCCAATGTATGATTTGACTGTTACTTTTTAGAAGGTTAGAATTATGATGCAGGGCCGGATTTCCCAATAGGCCCGGTAGGCCCGGGCCTATGGGCGCAAGGTCCCAGAGGGCGCACGGCCAAGAGGAATTTTGTATAGGCTATCTAAAAATAAAAATAAATAGTCATATTTTATAAAAAAAACTTCTGAAGTTCATAAGAAGAAATTATTGTTATGAAATTAAAAATATTATTCAGAATTACGCATTATTTTCGTTACAAAATATTGGTTATACGGGAGTAGGCTGTAGGGATGTTGACGTTGACGAGCGCCCAAGGGGTACGCAACGTATTGTCATTGCACTGGGCCACTATGCTGGCTCGTTGGCTGGCTCAGGCTCGGGCTCGGCACTACTGATCAAAGTGTTAAGGGCGGAAGCGTGCTAGACATTGTTACCACCCTCACTTTACAAAACAAAAGTTATTAACTAATCTTTTGATTAGTTTACAACAATCTGCAGGATCAAAAGTTAAAATATATAATACGTTGTGTTGAATATTAAAACAACGATTAATTTACGTTTAAATTTAACGAAAAAATATCAATCTCAGTTTGCATTAGATTTTAGAAACATTCAATACCCTCCAAAGCACCATTAATGCTGTCATTTTCTCCTCAGACCTAAGGATCGGTATGGTTGGCAGGAGTATTGGCTCTGTTTTGCTTTGGAAATATAAACTGAGATGCAGTACGACCATAGATTAAATATAGCTCAAGTCGACATCTCATGACATTGTTAATTCAATATTTTTTCATGTCTAGTTCATGTTGATGATACTGGACGTTAGTTTTAACGTAATTTTGTTTTTATAATTTTAGGGTTAGTTCTATGATTTGTGTTTTAATTTCTTGTAATATAAACAGGAGACGACCTATTGTTGATGATTAGATCGTTTTATTTTGGATAAACTAGGTTTAAACATAGATAAAACGTACTCCTTAAATAACAAGAATTGTTTTCAGCTAATCCAAAATTATGACAAATCTACTAAAGGAGTAGCCTATGTTTAATCTATGGTATAACGTACTGTATGGAGTTCAGGTTTTTGGGCCTGGAATTGGAATCAATGTCCATGTTTTTTTCTTTTTCTTTTTTTTTCAGGAATTCTCGGTGGATTGAATTGTTACTTGTTTTGTTTCAGTCCCACGGCCACAAACGTGAGCATTTATTAAAAGTATAAAATTGCTAACTGTGTTTAAGACGGCATTTTGTTAAGGCTAAACAAGTCAATAAAAAAAACTTGCAATGATTCCGACGAGGAGTGGTATTCAAGCAATTAACTTAGGCCTATGGGCATGATATAGTTTTTAATAAAGGTTTGAAGGAAAGTAACTGTGACCAGACTAGGGGGCGGAAAATGATTTGGGCCTAGGGGCGCAAAAGTGCTAAATCCGGCCCTGTTATGATGGTGAATAAAAACAAAACTTGTAATTATTCTTTCTATTCCCACAGATTCCAGAGCAATGTCAACACAGAACTCAGTCCATATCTGGCCAATCCAAGTGCTTCTGTAACTGTTCTGAGCAGAGTTGCCAGCCTAGGATGAGGTAAATTTTATGCTGGGTATGCTATACAAATTTCTCTAAATTAATTGTTTTCTCAAAGCCCAGATTTTGAAGTATCATAAGAGTAATGTCTGGAAGTAAATAAAGTCTTTTGAGTCTTTCAAAATGGTCTTTTAGTTTAGTGGACTACTTCTCTGGTTATTGTTGTCTTTATGAGACAAGAATATAAGTTGTGATTTTTGTTCATCATTTATAAGACTTGTGCATTTTTCCATACTTGTGTCTATTGGAAGTTGTAATTCTAAATTTCACAAAGTATTTGTTTTCAAGATTCCTAAAAAAGTAAATTGTTTGTGAGCTTTCCATTGAATTTTGCCAAAAATTTTATTTTTGAAAGATCACAAACACAGTAGGTAATGTTTTGTCTGTATTTTTGTTAAGTTTAAATTCTTACCATACAAAAGTACTTAGGTGTCCATCAAATGGATCACAGTATACAAGCCAGTAGGCCTATACGGTCTGGGATTGTTGCCTAGGTCGGATCCCATAAAAATGTAGTTTTTTTTTCTGAAGCACTTATACCAGAATGTTTCTACTCAAATAGTTTTCAAAGACCTGTCCCTGCTTAAGTCCTTCAAGGGGTTACTTTAAACAGAATACAATTTTTATAGTTTTTCCTTGACCTACCACAATTTTGACATCCACAATTTCAAACAGCATTTTTTACATCAGTGTATTTACCCTCTCAAATTTTTCGCAGATCAATAGAAACTTACGGCAATGTTCCTGGGACTGAAGCTTCTACTATGTACTCACATTTGCCACCAGGTGTGTAGAACAATTTTTTTTTAAATATAGGTTTGAATAGAAAGGGATTATTGCCTGAGAATAAGGGAGACAAAGGATAGGATAAGCAGGCTTACCTTAAGAAATGTATGCATCCCACTTCACTACAGTAACACAGAAGAAAACAAGGGGCCAGTGGCCTCGAAATATCCAATTTATCTTGTGTTTTTTTTATATGTTATCCAAATTTGTTTAGGATTGTTTCATCATTATGTTGTCCAAATTGGGTGCCTTGTAGCGCATGTGGTTAGATTTATAAAAGGGTTCTGTTGGTGATAGAGTTTATCAACGATCAACACTAATAGCTAGAAAACTTGGAAAAAGTACAGCTTGAACCAAAATTTCCAAAAGTAGCTTGGTCTATGCTTTATTGTCTTAGTATGGTAAATTTAACATCAGTAGCAATAAAAATCTGATAAGGAATTTTTTTCTATTTAAGTCCCTAAAGTGCACCATCAAAAGAAGTCAAAGGATTTGTCTGCACATGCCCTGTAAATTGTGTTAACTCATCCTCTTGTTTTTGGTCAATTTTATGATTTCTTATTAATTATTTGGTTGTGAAACCAGAAGATGAGCTATTTTTTATAGCTGGATAGGTTTGTTTGGTGAAACTAGTTTTCAGGCCCGGTCTGGCCAGGGCGGCTGGTCGGCGATCCCCGAGGGCCTCCGGCTCAAGGGGGCCTCCAAAAGCCAAAAAAATCAATTAAAAAAATTTTGTCATAATAAAAAAATATTTTGTTTAACTGTTTCACAGCGACGTAGTCTTGCAAAAACAATTTTTAATAAACAATACTCTTTTTTTAATTGAATTACAGTTAAGGGTAGCCCCTAAGTAGTGATAGTCACTCGGTACTAGAGGATAGTCACCGATCTCACTGCAATGCACCGTTCGAATCAGCTTAGTGCCCAGCGCTCCGCGGTAGTGACGAGACATTGCCGTGCCGGCGCGTCTGCGATATGTCTGGTGTCTGGACTCAAGCAGACAGCTTAGTGCTTGTACTATTATAGTGATGGGACAACCGACTGGAAAAAACTATCGACTAGTCAATTTGTCAATCGGTTGTTTTTAAAACCAGTGGTTTTTTTCAGTCGAATGAAAAACCGAGAGAATTCCACTACAACAACAACTGGTGGCGTTCAATCGGTGCAGTGGTTTCAGTCATTGCAAAGAAAATTATCGAATATAATTTTACTTTAAACATTGGAGTTTTCCCGCTTGATTCCTATTGTTTGTTGTCATTTGCATTAATATTTTGTTACTTTGGTATAAAACGTAATAGAATGACAACATTTACAATTAATTAAAAATATTTAGTTTATTACATGACTGCAAGATTTAAATTATTCAGTAGGCCTAATGTCTTTAACTCAGTATAACAAATATTCCTATTTATTTGTTACCTGGTTTTTAAAACAGATTTTACTACAGGCATTAAAATCTAAATCATCAGTATATAAAACCCAGTGTCTTGGCAATTTTATATTTTTTAAACAACAAAAATAAACACAATTACAGTACATTTTATGTATCATCCCTAAAAACTGTTCCCAATTCCTATCCGTCAGTTTATCTACAACTGATTTTATTCGACCAGTCAGCCTCATCTCAACACCAAAAGGTCGAGTATGGTGTTACGACTAGTTTAATCACCGACGACTGTTTCCAGTCATTCCTACGTAGTGGGTTATGACGTATTATTTGAAAGATTATTAACACGTGAATCGTTCAGTTTATAAAATGAAACGTGTGCACCCAAGTGGCGCAAGTAAAATAAAAATGGATAGGAAATATTTCAAAATAAAAACAAATTAAAGTCAAACTGTTTTAACTTATGGTTAGCAGGTTAGCTGGTTTCAGTTCCGATCCTGCAAACAATCAGAAGTCGCAAACAGGCAGGCGGAAATCATCAGAAGTTTTTTGTAAGCCTTACAACGTTTAAATTTAAATACTTTTGATTATTTCTGTTTGTCTTTGTTGCTGAAGTACAACTATGGAGTAAAGTGTGTGATAAACCATGGCCGCCTTTAACTCCAGGCCGCGGCCTTCGAACTGGCAACGTCGCAAGTGGTGTTGTAACAGCTGTTTTGTTTGGTAGCAGCTAATGGTATTTGTGTATTAACGAAAGATTGGTTACTGGACTATGACAATATTGACTCCGCCTAAAAAAGTACAGATATAGATATTAATTCATATTGTTTCGGTTTTGAATTCTGTATGTTTCATTTTCAATATTTTAATAAATTTATGTTCATAAATTTAAATTTAAATAAATAAAGTGCGACTTAATGAGCTGATGTCACCTGTCTGCCATGTTATCTTATGGGACGTCTGTCACTGAACAACACCACTTGCGACGTTGCCAATTCTACCAGGCCGCGGCCTGTAGTTAAAGGCGGCCGTGGATAAACAGTAAATGTGGTCCATTCATAGATGTATTCAAAATTCAAAAGTGGTACGTGATATGCTTTTTTACCATGGCAAAAACTCCAAGAACTAGGTTTTGGTCTTATTTTTAAATTGAAGACTTAAAACAATTTTAAGAATTGGCCTTTAAATTTTATGGCATCTGTAGAGGTGAATAGAAATACGAGCAAATTTTATATCAAATTTAAATTGATTGATACCTTGGAATTAAATTTATAAATACAAAGATTTTAATTTATGGAAATTTAGCAATTATTAATTTAATCAAAATTATCAAAAACTTTTAATCATTTAAAACCACATTAGGCCCCTTTTATGAACCTGCGGCATGCAGCAAACATATATGCTAACTAATTGTTGCCGTGAGAGCACCCCATGGCCCTTGTTTTATTTCTGGCTGGGTTCCTCAAATCAACATCTAGCCGAGGGCCTCCAATGGAGCCAGACCGGGCCTGCTAGTTTTGAAATAATAGAAACTAATTATAAACAAGAACACGCCCCTGCATGAACCCGATGGAGCATACAACCAGCTGAATTATAAGGAAACAAATTCATAAGTAGTGTGTGTAATTTATGATTCTATTTAACTTGTACCTCAAAAATGGATCCTTTCTTTGTGAGTATGTTCACAAAAAACCGTTCAATTTTTTATTGATAAAAGGAGAGGAAACATGGTGAAAATAGGCATCAATGAACCTTGGGTGTTAAAGGCTGATACTCAATCTCTCTGATTTTATTGTTGTTCTGCAGAAGTCTGCAGTTGTTCCGGCAGCTGGGACGACAGTTGTTCCTGCAGCGGTTCTTCTTGTTCCTACGCTCAAGTCAAGCACAGTCAGCAGAAGTAAACAGTATTATGCATTGTATTCAAAATGTTTGTGATAAATTTGATATTATAGTTTAATGTTAATATGTATATTCAGTGAATGCTTGGTTTTGAAGGTTCGGTATCATGTAAACAGAAAACCTAGTGTTCGTGAAAAATGGAAAAAGTTTTGAAGAATAGAAAGTAAAATTAAAATATAAGATTCAATACAACACTATGGTCTTTTAGTTTAATAGTTATGGTGCAGTCGACAAAAAAAATAAAAGAAATGTGTTTAATAATATGTGTACTTGTTAATTTTTTAATGAACAAGTTTGGAAAAAAGAAATGAAGGTTTGAAGAATCCAAACCTAAGTAAGTTAAAAAATATAGGATTCAATACAACACTATGATCTTTTAGTTTAATAGTTTAAAGATCAATAATAGTGATGTGAAGTTTAAGTGATGCCTTGTTTCAAATATTTGTAAAAGTAATCAGAATTGGGAAAATTAGGGTTATTAATATGAAAAATAACAACCAAAAATAATCAACGATTCTGCATTTCTCGGATCAGATCCAAACTGTATTTGTATTAAACTCATACCTGGTTTGTAAATTTGAGTTATCATTTGTACAGGAGTAAACATTAAAAGAACTGTTAAATAATTAAATTTTGATTTTAGAATGTTTTTATTTTTTAATGATTCAAAATTGTCCTTGTACTTGGAACCAGCCTATTCTAAAGTCAACTTAGTTGTTTTTTGGTACTTTATCATATCTGATGATCACTTAACATTAAACCTAACAATATAAATAGTCTACGGATTACAATTCATCCATGGTATTCTATATGTAAAATTACCTAAGTTATTAAACATAATTTTTATAATAATTTTAATTTAAAAACTACAGTGGTAAATGTTTGTTTTTTTTAATTCAGGATTTTGCTACATCTCGCTACTTAAGTGTATTTTGCATCCTTTCCAAATAACAAGCAATGTTTTTGTTTCTCATTTGATTCAAATCTAAACAGTAAGTTTAAGAAAAAATATGTGTTCATATTTACTCAACCAAAGTCTGTAGTTTTGTAAGTATATGTAGAAGCGGCACAATCATGTTATAAGTAGTTATGAAACTTTCAGACTGAAGAAATAAAATAATCTAGTCTGTTTTGTGATATTTAGATTTAGGAACATGTAGGGAAAATAGATTGTAGATTATAAACCTGTGTTTAATGTATGTATCGTAAAATATAGATAGCTGTATTGATTCATTGATTTACCGTAAACACGTCATTAAAAGTTGAAATTTGAGAAGTATGTATAACTGAAGGCACAGGATTTTTAAATATACTAGCATTTTTTACCATTGCTTATTACTGTGGGGTTTACCTTTAGCTATTGACACAGTTTTAAGAAATAGACATTCCATTCACATTTCCCAAGTCAATGTTGTACCCAGGATTAAAAAGAATAGAACATTGAACCTCAAACAGGGTTGTCCTATTAATGTTTTATTTGTTACAAATTATTAATAAGCCTATGTCTTGTATACACCCAACCAACATTAAATCCAAACTAAAAGGACACATTATTGTTAACTATAATTATGGCATAATTTATTTCACAACTGTCGTGGTACAGAGTTACAGATCGTACTGAAATATATAATCGCTGAAATATAAGATTGTAAACAGATTTCCTTTATTGTAAAACTTTATAATAGACATTCAATAACAGTTTAATTGATATCAATAGAAATTTAATTAACATCAAGGAGGATCCCTAGATAATAATATAATTAACATCAGTAAACAAAAAAACATCTTTGGTTTGGTGCCTCAGTCGGTGGCCCAAAGTACCAACAAACCAAGACAGCGATGTTGAGGGTTTGTATCCCGGGGATGCCACTTACAATTTACAACCCACAGATATTTTTTGAGACTCAGGTTAAGAAGAAAATCCTAGATTTAAAGTAGCCACTATTGAAGTAAATGCTATAGTTCGGCCGCTTAGAAAGCGACCTCCTCCAGCATTGGTTTAGCATTAGCGCGCAGGTCGTTTTCTAAGCGGCCGAACTATAGTAACAATATTTTACGACAAACAATACAATTAGTAATCATTGTAACAAGTATAAGCTTGTTGTTAAGCTGAACAGCCAAGCTATCTTGAATGTGAAATGTTTCTGTTGTTTCATCACGAATTACCTACTAGTTTTAGAAAAACTTGAACATAACCATAAAAAAATGCTTTTGGTAGACAGTGTTTTGTACTGTTTTTTACCGCTCTAAAGTTTTGTACATTTTGTATAAATATTTGTATAATGAAAACTTTACCTATGACTGAGACTATTGATTTGACCCCTTTTCATCTCAAATTGTATAAAGTTGGTTCAAAGCTCGTTTTGTAGACACAATGTTCATTGAGAGATATTGCTATGGATTATATAGCTTATTAATCCAGGTAAGAGAGCGATCCACAGTGTTTGTAAATGAGTAATTTGAGGAATTGTAGGTGAACTAAACCACAGACTATAGACCATTAATTGGTTACTTGGTTAATTAATTAATTAGTTCCACTGATTCAGCCTCGTAAACAGTAGGGCCCCTTACAATAATATAAATATTTGCTAACAGAGAAACATTAGAACACTAGAAACATTAGATAATTAGAACTCACAACAAACATATAGGTATAGTCAGTGCTCGATTTGTGCTGGAATGGCGTTCCGGCACCTCTCTTTTGAAAAGATAAAGATATTAGCATAAATAGGTACTAATCACATTAAATAGGTTACAGTACCGGCACCTCAATATTTACAAATTGAGCACTGGGTATAGTCACCAATTAACTTATTTTAACCTCTAAGGTAGCTCAGTGTACATTGTGAAGGGATAAAATTTATGTCGTCCCAGTTTACAAGTTCAGATTATATTAGATTTTTAAGACTTCTACTCAGCAGGGTGAATATTTTAAGGCGAGTATTAGCGAATGGTGTTGAATGAATGAGGTAACATGTTTTTTTTACTGACTTCAATCATCTGGTTCTTGGATCTTTAGCCAGAGAGCCGTTTATTAAAAGCCAGTCGTCAAGTGCAGCTGGTTCCAGTTTTGAACCATTCTAAATATTTTGACTTTTCTCAGTATTGAACTAGAGCAACCCTATTTTTAGTAGGTGAGCAATATATACATTCAGTTACACAGCTGTATAACCAATCAGGTCAGATTTACCGAATAGGCACGGTAGGCACATGCCTAGGGCGTGAGGCAATTGGCTTTTTTTGGGGGGCACCAAAAACTTGGAAAATAACAAAAATGGTGGCTGTATTTGCATGCGATGGCGGTAAACTGATAACCTCTCACGGCCGTCTAGACATCGTAACAGTCTCCCGCAATTGCGGTAAGATGTTAATTATTTCCTGCGGTTGTGTCATCATCGTCCGTCTCCTTCAATCGCGGCAAAATTATGACTATTTCCGACGGACGTGTGGACATAATTATCGTCTTCCTTGATCGCGGCAATATATGAACACAACCCGTGGTCGTGAGGAGATTATCACCGTCTACCGCTAATGAGGCAAAATTCTAATCTTTTCCCGAAGTCGTGTGGACATTATCATCTTCTTGCGTGATCACGATACAATTCTGATAATCCCTCACGGCCATGAAGACATTGTCGCCTCCCGCAGTCGTGAGGCATTGTCATCCTCTCCCACCATTGCGGCAAATGGTACTCATCTCTCGCGGTCGTTTGGAGATCATTTTCGTCTTTCGCCAATGAGGCAAAATTCTGATCTATCCTGTGGTTGAATAGACATAATCGTCGTCTTACGCGATTGCGGTAAAAATCTGATCATCCCTTGCAGCCATGTTGAGTAGACATAATTATTGTAACTCCCGCGATCCTGTAGACATCTTAATTCCCTTCCTGCGGTCGTGAAGACATCGTAATGTTAATAATATCCCGCAGTCATGTGGAGATCATTATCGCCCTTCGCGATCGTGGTAAATTTCTGACTGTTTCCCACGATTGTGTGGACATTATCTTCATCTTCTGTGATCACGGCAATATTCTGATGATCCTTCCTGGCTCTGTAGATCATATTATCGTATTGGGCGATCGCCGTAAAATCATGATCATACCCCGCGGTCATTTAGACATTATCATCGTCTCATGCGATTGGGGCAATATTCTGATCATCCTTCACGGCTCTGTAGACCTCATTATCTTATTGCGCGATCGTGGTACAAAAATTCATGCTTAATTCCCAAATTTCCCGGTTGGTGGTCACCCTGTTTTATATATTGCAAAGGGGCGCTACTATTTTAGTTGTGCCTAGGGCGCTGACATAGTAAAAAATGGGCCTGAATCAGGTTGCCAGGCTCATTAACAGACAGTATACTCTTTGACAAAGCTTTGTGTAAAAAAAAAAACATCAACAACCTGCACTAATCCTTAGAAGACTCGTAAACTGATCAGCAACTCTGGTTTTCTCTATTCTTTAAGTTTTTGTAACCAAATTCATTGTAGTAGCCCCGGAACTGTAGTAATGACTAGTATTGGTTTTTATTACCTGTCGTCAGTTCCAAATTTTAACTACCGTAGGTGCTACATGTTTTGGCAAGATGCCATTATCAAGCATACAGTCCAGGAATGTACATTAAAAAATAATGAATAATGAATAATGAATAATGAAGTTTATTTCCCACAAAAAACCACAATGTAACAATACATGAGATGTAGAGAAATATGACTGGCTACTTGATCCAGTAGTGTAACCAGTTTGCTTATACTAACTTATCGGCTAACATGACGTTGTAATTTATGGTCTAGCATCTGTTATAAAACATTGAATTTCACCTGAACTGTGCATCTGATGGACAAAACAAGAACTGTTTTAATAAAACAATGAAAGTTATTACAACAGGATATTATTGATATAATTTATGCCCTGCTGAGAAGAAAGCCAAATTATTGTTGCTTTGCTAAACTGCTTTAAATTTAAACTATTCTTTATTTGAAGTGGTAGATAATTATAGTATTTTGGTCCTAGATATTGAAAAGAGTGACGAAAAATACCTTTATTTACTTTGGGTAGTTTCAGAGTATTATTGGTAATACTTCTTGTTATGTATGTGTGTGTAATAAATAAAATACGCTTGTGTAGCTTCGTTGTTGGTTTACACACATGACACTTAACACACGACACATAAATAAATAATACATTTGGTTGGATAGGCCTATCGTGGGAACGAAACATTGCCGTTACACAACTGGGAACAGACTGTCGAGGGAGGGTCGATGAGCGCTATCTTGAGTTATCCACCCTTCCCGTACATGGTGGTTAGTCACTTGAAGGGGGTTTACATTTTAAAATTTTTGTTGTCCTCAAAATCTTTCATTTTTGAGGGACACCCAAAATTTTCAAAAAAATTAGACTTCCTGCTAAGTTTGCATGACTACCAAAAGGATATCTCTGTAAATTTACTTATAAGCATGAACATTTACTTATTAGATGAGGGGGTCTTGACTTTTTATTCACCCTGTGTATTATGGTTGGCTATTATGTTATCAACAAAAACTTTGTATTTTAAGTAAAATCTAATTGTAAAGCAAGGATGGCGGCTGAAAGTATTAAAAACTATATTACATTAGTAATGAAGTCCTAATTATCCTTACCTCCTTATCTCCTATCCTAGGAGTTTATGAATAAAGTATAATTTCTAACCCTATGTGTTTGAAAAACAACTCCTTTGTCAAATAAGAGTGGTAAAAGAAACTTGTTCAGACAGCACTTGAAAATGGTTACAGAATTTAAACTACGCGCCAATAAAAGGAACAGTATAGTGGTGCAGTCTAGCGGCATTTTAGTAAACAACAGAAACGGAAGCTGGTGATTGGCCGTTCATGGTCACCGGTCAGCTGTTTCATCCCGTTCCCAACCATTATTGCCCTTTCCTTTCTAGTTTCCCTCCAGCCGTCTGATTTCCAGTTCCCTTCCCTTCCCAGTTAGTTGTTGTTATCCTTTCCTTTCACAGCCAATCGCCTCCGCCTACTCCTGTCTGTTCTATTTGGAAATGGACAGAAACAGAACCAGTGTCTGTACCATCCTAATCCCTAGTCGTTTGTGTTGTGAGTGAAGACTGAAGAGTGAATGAACAATGTCAACAGTTCAGAAACCAAAAGTGTCAAGACAAGTTTAGTGTTCCTATTTAATGAATTATTGAATTTCGTGCTCTTGTATCCTAACTTAGCTGTGATAAATTAATATGCATTTCCTGTAGCAATAAATTTCGACGGTGTATTTCGTTAGATTAATAAGTCTTTTATGAAAACATGTTTTTAGAATGTAGCGGGACAAGTTACGGTTTGATGGTTCTTTTGTTTGATCAATAATTTTAAATGAGTGTTTACTTCAGCAACCCAAGGAACTAAAAAGGTAGGCTAAGGAAATATATATTTAAAATCTAAAATATATTTGTGAAGGCTGTTGATTATATGCAATATAAGTTTTTTAACTACGGTAGAAAGGCTGACATTACTTTGAGGTTATGTTATGTTTATGATAGCCTAGCCTACTTATTTTATTGAAATTATCGGGCAACCATATAAACAAACCTATATGATGTAAGACAAATGCGAAAATAAACCAGGGAAAATCTGCTGTAAAAATTACCAAACCTGGCAAATGTCATTGATGTCACATAGCCTATACCCACAGAGCAGAGAATAAAAAAAAAATATAAGTTAAGTATTACCTCCTTAAGATATACTCTCTGCCCTATGAAGTTAACAAAAGGTCACTTTTATGTAAGTTAAGTTACTTAAACTGTATCCTGGTAGGCCCTACCAGTAGTAAGTCCTAATACAAATTATGATTAAGTTAGGCTAGGCCTATAAACATTTTAGATTAATAAAATTGTTGACAACACATCCGCTTGCTTAAAATCCATGTTTACACCACCGTTAGTGGTAACCGTTGATATGAATGAACATTTAAGTCTAAAGGTATGCGCTCGGGTCGCTACTAGCCAAACTAAAACATACGGTCACGGCAGTGCTGGGGGTAGGGGTGAGTGTGTAGCAAGGCACAAATGTTTTCACTAAAGTACCCCCGCCAACCCCCTCGCCTAGACCCAACCAGATCTGGTCGCACAATCTGTACCGGTACTAAGTTAGTCAGTTGTCATGTGACGGAGCGGCACAGTTCCATGTATGAGCGCGTGATGTTTTCAACATGTTTTGCCACATTTTCAGGCAATTCCTTGATTATCAAGAGTTTGTGATTTATTTATTGGGTGATAAGTTAATTCCTTTGTGACATAACTGAAAGTACACCAAGTATTTCCAAGCAGGTTTTATAGTTTGTTGTAGCCTACAATTAGTTATAGATGGTCACCTTTAAATGGGATGTCTACTTTAGTAGCCTAACTTATCCAGTAATAGTCAATGTTTATATCAACATTCGAATAATCTTACCCTAGGCCTACATAGAATTTTAAGTTAGCTCATTACTTTGTCATACCTATTTTTCTAGACAAAGAAGTGAGGTTTCTCGTTTTTGCAGTTTTATTCCACACTCATTGGAAGTAGCCTATCTCATCGGAAATAACCCCATAAAAAATTAGTTGCCCCAATCCTCAATAATTTAGATTTTTTTCTTAGTATTTTAAAAATAAAACCATAGTGTAGGTAGCCTTGAATTGAGACATGATTAAACACTGATGGCCTTACTGTAGTTTTATCAAGATGACAAGTTATTTCTGATTTTCTTGTTATCATCATCTGACCTTGAGAATTGATGTCCTTGTGATTGACTGTTGAAGATTACCATGTCTGGGTCTGGTTTGAAAACAAATACCTAGATCTTTATTACCTACGTTTCCCCAAAGTATTGTGAAAAGTAAGGAGAAGAAGTTATTTATTTATCTGCCAATGGTGTAGCGACAGCTGATGTCATCGTTGTCATAGCAACCAATTTTGATTATTATTGTTAGGTATTGGGTTTTAGAGGAAGCTATACACAAATTGTAACTCTTCTAAAAAGACTTAAATGATTTCCCTTTTGCTTAATTGGTCATAAGTTTATTTGAAATGTCAAACAACCACGACCAAAATGGTGACTGGCCATTTGACAATTTTACTTAACTATAGTTAAGTACGTATTTTACGTACTTATATACGTATGTGAATCAAAATGACAAAATAATCAACAATAATTATTAGGTTCTAACAACAATAGTGTACCTAACAATGATTTTATAACAACAAAAATAATATAGCAGCAGTTTATTGTTGGAATACAGTAAGTTACCGGTATACAGTAGGTACTTAATTGTTGGAAGTGCTCTGAGCATTACGTTTTCTTATCTGTGCTAAGCTAAATGTTTTTAAATATTCAGTTTTATTAAAATAAAATACATTTAAAAATAATGTTAGCCCACTACAATTTGAATACAAGAATTTAAAAACCTGTAATGATTAATTTTACATTAATTTGGTATTTTTGTAATGTTACATTTGAGTTAACTTCTGGAGGTTTCACTGTAATCAGACACCTCTGCAACTGTAGGCTAATGTATTCACAATATTTTTATTCTGCCTTGATTTTACAATTCATTTCAATTTTACTTGTAAAGCACAATGATTGTTTTCAACAAATTTTTGTTATGGATATAAGTTCTTCTTTGATAAGTTATGTGAAAAGTAAGTTACCACACTGAACACATTTTCATTGTTTTTGTTAAAGAACAGTTAGGTAAGTAACTTAATTGTTGAAAATGTTACGAGGAGTTGAGAGGAGATATAGATAAGCAGGCAGAAATAATATTTGGCTTTCCAAGCCAAAACACTTTGCTTTGCTTATACTGATAAAGCACACCTTCTTGATTAGCAAGCTCTTTTACAATGATAAGCAATCAAGGTGCATGATAGTCTGATCTTGAATTTTGTCATTTACATTTTTAGACGGAAAGCATTTAGTGGATTACGGTTTTTTAACTACAACTCTTTTATTCAATGTTGTAGGCCACTTTGCTAATTTAATCAGCAAAATTAAAATGATAAACTATTTTAAAATAAGCTACCAGTATAATTTATTGAAAATTTATAATCAGACTAAGTAAAAATAATTGTACTGTAAAGTAGGCCCACTGTAGCCCTATATAGTAATTTTAAACTTTTTTTTAGTGCTACATTTAGTTGTGATCCTCAAATCATTAAGCTCTACCAACAAAGTGTTCAAAATAACAATAAAGTAGGTAGCCGATCAAAATTCTAATTTTTTGTTTATTACCTTTTGAATAATTGAACAATGCTAGTCAGCTGATTTAGTCTAAAGAGATAATAAAATAAAATAATTAATTGAAAGTTCAAAAAGCTAATGGGATAAATATCTAGAGTCAAGACCACGAAAGATTGCAGTTGAAGGAGGAGCCTATTTACCACGTGACTTCGAAGGAGCCAATGAGGACAGTGCGGTGTTGCCAGATCTAATAATACTAGCTGATTTGCTGATATTGATTAAGATATTGTTTAATATTTTAATTAGTGTCGTCAACGGGCGATATGGCAACGTCGCACTAGCCTTATTGTCTTGTGATTGGCTGCCGCCAACTGCAAACTTTCGTGGTCCCGACTATAAGTATGGATTTTGCACTGTCACTTAACCTAGAAAAGGTACATCTAATGTCATATTTACATCATGTGTTTTAAACAAAAATTTACAACAATCCAAAGAACGATAGTTTTGTCAATATATTTTTAACAGTATGTCATTGTTTAAAACAGAAATTTTGTTTTCAACAAGAAACTGTCAACGTTATCTTTACAACACATGTTTATCCTGGAGTTCAAAGCAAACAGTTTTGAAATGTTTTTTTGAGTGGTGTTTTGTAATCATGGGTTAGGAAAATGTTTGATACTAAATTATAATACCTCCGTCGCAGCAAACCTGCAGACTAAGCAAATTTCAACTTGTCTGATTACATTTTTACTGAAATATTTCCATGAATGAGACATATTTATTCCCAATTTAAATAACATTAGATTTAACGAGTGCTTAGGTTTGCTGCAACGGGGAAGGTAAAACATGTTTTTTGACCATACGTTAGTAGTATAGGATAAAAAAAATATATTTACCAAATTTTATCAATATAGCCTACATCTTAAACAAGTAAACTACAAAAGTTTTAATTTTCTCCATACGAATAACATGGGATTTTAAATTTCACTTTTTTTTTAATTTTCTCCGTTACCCTTAGGCATACAACAGCGCTTCAATATACAAAATTATTTCTTATTGTTAAGCTCTACAAACTGGTTTGGAAAGAAATTGCAAACATTTTAGTTTTTAGGGTAAAAAATGAGTAAACCTCATTCTTACCCCATAAAACCCCCCATAAACTCCCGTTCCCATGGTGCGATTATGCTGGTTCGCGAACTCGTTTGAATAAATGTAGGTTAACACGTTCGTACCAAATTTCATCTAAATCGGATTAGCTTGAGTTATCGCTTACGGACACATACCTATATATATATGAGTTTGAAAGGATAATGTTTCTGGCCTCTGGGGACATCAAAACAAAAAAGTAAATCGGTCTCGGATCTAAGTCTCACAATGAGACCTACGGTAATAGCTTATTCCCTACATGGGAAATTTGCTAAAAGCTGATCAAGAACGGTACCAATGGCCAAAAACCTGTACAAAAATAGGTAAGTTTGTGGTTAGAGATTGTCGAGTTTGGGGTTTGTTGAGTTTTCCAGAACATGGAAATTCTTAAAGGGTTTGGTTTAATAAATGAATAGGCCTACACATAAGAGACTGATTTAAATTTACATTTTATTTTATTACTCTTTTGAGTATTTTTACATGTTGTGTAATCTTCAATGAAATTCATAATATTCAACAATCAAAACTAAATGTTCTGAACAAATTTGCTTTTTTTCTGCTCTCTGTCAACTGTTGACTGTCGAGTCGTGAGTGTCGGGTTAGTGAGGTTTTACTGATAATATCAATGTGTTAGAGGATTATTATACAATTTATAAAATCACTGTTTGCATAAGTAGTCTGATGCAGGTTCAGCTAAGTTAGTACGCTGTCTGTCATATTATTCCAAGTTGTATATTAGATAAATGCAAAAAATTACCACATTTTTATAAAACTAGATTTGGGCCCTGCCTAATCAAATGTTTATTCTCAGCCATGTGCAGGAAAACTTAACTACACTTTCTAAGTTTCCATATCTTTGTGGAATTTTATAATTAGCCACATTCAACATTGTCCTCGGTACAGTTCCGGTGACATTGCAATGCAGTTAAAAAGCGTTAAGCTTAGCGGGAAGTGATGAAACTGGATCATTATGGATAACCACGCAGTATGAGACGTAATTAAAAGCCTTTCCCCGGCACATAGCTCAAATCCTCTCGTACGGTGTTTCA